TAGGCTAATCCTCCAACTGCGGCGCTAGCACACCAGGTTCTAGTCCCGGTTGGGGTGCTGGATTCTGTCCGGGTTGCTCCTCTTCCAGTCCATCTCTCTGCTGTGGCCTGGGAAGGCAGTGGAGGATGGCCCAAGTCCTTGGGCACTGCACCCGCGTGGGAGACCAGGAAAAGCACCTGGCTCCTGGCTTCGGATCAGTGCATTACGCCAGTCGCAGTACACCAACCGCAGTGACCATTGGGGGTTGAACCAACGGAAAAGGAACACATTTCTCTCTGTCTCCCTCTCTCACTGTCCACTCTGTTTGTCAAAAAAAAAAAAAAGTAAACATGAGGGACTGAAACTATGACATAACAGGTAAAGCAGCCATCTGTAGTGCCAGCGTCACATATGGTGCCAGTTCAAGTCCCGGCGGGTCCACTTCTGATCTGGCTTTCTGCTATGGCATGGGATAACAGTGGAGGATGGCCCAAGTCCTTCAGCCCCTGCACACATGTGGGAGACCTGGAGGAAGCTCCAGGATCTTGGCTTCAGATCAGACCAGCTTTGACCATTGTAGCCATTTTGGGAGTGAGGCAGCAGATGGAAGATCTCTTTCTCTCTCTGCATCTGCCTCTCTGTAACTCTGCCTTTCCGATAAATAAAATCTTTTAAAAAAGTAAACATGAAGTGGTAATTCTCTTCTGTATACTTTTTGAAACAGGATATTTCCCTGGGTCAGGGCCAGGGCCAGGGCTAGGGGGTTCTTAGACTATATTCCTCTAAGTGCTTTACAATATAGATAACTCTGACTGCAACCAGTGAAAATTGTTGCAGATTAATTAACTTGACTTAATTGTTCTCCACAGTGTGGTCAATTTTACTCTCTAAAAATATAAAATTCTAATTTATCCATGTATAATAAAGTAAAACTAAATATAAATAGCAATGTACTGAGCTAGTTTCCATCTTAGAAATTCATTAGTTTTCAAATATACTGTAGATCTCTTTGTTATAATCGATCTTCTATCAAAGATCTTTCTATTGGAGCAGGTGTTTATCAAAGTAATTAGGACAATATTGAGATACCCACATCCCAAATTGGAGTGCCTTGGTTCCAGTTTGCTCTACTTCAGTATCTAGTTTCCTTCCAAGGCACACGCTGGGAGGCAGTAGGTGTTGGCTCAAACATTTGGTTCCCTGCCACCCATGCCCATGGGAGACCTGGATGGAATTTCTGGTTCCTTCATTTGGCCTGGCCCAGATCTCACTGTGTTGGCAATTTGGGGAGTGAACCAGCAGATGGATGATTTCCTTCTCTGTCTCTTGCTTCTCATATAAAATACCTAATTATAGTACTGCTATTGCAGTACCACAAACTAGGAATGCAATTAGAAAACTTAGAAACACCCAAAAATTGGTGAGAAACTAAAATTATGCTAACCTTACAAAGTAAAATAATAATAGGTATAAGATATAATTATGTGATCCCACTTGTCATGTCTTCATATTTACATGAAGAAATAGAAAGCATAAGATCAGGGTGATGTGATGATTTTGTGGAACTGAGGCATTTACACTTAGGTAGGCCTCTTTCTCCAATAAAGACAAATTGAAAATTTCATTTCACAAAAGTATTGAACTAAAAAGACAAATATATTAATTCTGCACATGGAAACATCCTCCCTGTCAAAAAATCCTTCTGTTTCCCTAACTGAATTATAAGGTAACGCATTCTCATGGGCCCATAAAGGCTTCTAGCTATTAGATAACTTGGTGTGAACAGGAGGACCTTGTGTAGCTTCAAATATATGCACTTCAGGCATGGATAGGGCATCCAGCACATGGGTCTGGAGAGAAACACTGGCCCAGGCACCTCGGGCCCCTGAGCTGGGGACAGAGAAAATCAGAGGACAAGAAGAGCAGGAGGTTCACTGTGGCTATGATGAGAGACAAGCGCCCTCTCCAGCACCCTAGGAAACCCTGCCTTCTGCCCTGGCCAAGATTCATTTCATCAAATTTGACTCAGCCTCCCCTGAATTGTTTTCATTTTACTACTTATTTTTATTAATATAAAGAGAACAGATTTAATATAGTTTATCGATAAAATTCTAATATGATACTTCTCACTTCCTCCCTCCCTCCCTCGCTTCCTCTCCATCCCTGATGCTTGTCCTTTTTAATTTTTGTGATAACATTTTTAATTTATTGTACAGTACATGAGGTGTACATAACAGTTTCTATAGGGACATTAGGAATTGTACACTTGATGGAAACAGTCTCAAGATGCTGTGGAAAGAACACTTCTCTGTTCCTCTTAGAAATGAACTCATGCAAATAGACTGCATTGTCATCCTAAGGAGCTTGGTTTGACCTCTGGCAGTGGTGGAGGGTCTAGATGACAGGGTAAGATGTAGAGTGATTGCTCACTCAGACCCAAGCCCTACAAATGGGGAAAAACAAAGTATTCTGCCACCTCCTTTTAACGGTGGAAACACAGTCTGCCGAGGGAGAGAGAGAATACATTATGGACAGATGCTAAAGAGAAGGGCACCAAGAGCACTATTCTATCTAGGATTAAACATGCAAGAAGGGCATAGGGATCCTTAGGGAAATGTCTCCAACCATGATTATTATCAACTCCAATGTGATAACCTCTATAGAATGAATGATCTCTGCTAATATGCATAGGCTGAGATACTGCTCTTTAGTACGATCATATTTGATGTGGTTTCTGGGAGGTAAGTACAATTTTTATGACTTACCTAACTACTTTCTTAGAAATTTTCAATATGAGATTGTGCAGTGAGATTGCTACATCTCTCTAACTGGTGAAGATAGTGAGAATAGGAAAGGAAAAACGTCTCTCCTTGAGGCAGGAAATGTGTCTTTCACAGACGCCAACCTCATGTATCTTGATCCTGGTCTTCCCAGCCTCAGCAATTCCTAAAAAATAAATTCCTGTTGTTAAGTCACAAAGTCATGGTATGTTGTTATGTGGAAACTCTAGGTGACTAACACAACAATGAAATGGGGAAGAATGCAGGTTAATTTCATTTGTGTCAACAGCTGGCTCTCCCAAGTCCTTGCATTTTGTATTTTTAGCAAATGGCAGAAAGGGCTCTGGAATATTTTGTCTAAATCCCATGAACCATGAGGAAAAGAAACTGATTTTCAAGGGAAAGCAAAATTAATGAAATAGAAATCAGTCTTGGTTTTTGCACATGTTCTACTCATGACCAAAAATGGTTATTTATATTGGCACACCATTAAATGATTCCCAAAACAGCATCAACATGAACATGACTCTGCACAAGGTCATGGGATTGATTACCTCACCTGAAGGCTAAGGGGCCAGCAGAGGCAGGATATCTAAGTGTGGAGAATGGTGGAGTGCAAGACTTGGCATTTATAACTCAAGCTTCCTCCTTATCAAACCTGAGCATCAGCTTCCATCCCAAATCAGGAAACTAACTCAAGTTTAAAGCTTAAAGGAAGGAGAATCATGAAAATGTAGAACATTTAGAAGATGTCGGAATCATTTATTGGGGGAATGTCAAGTACTATAGATCAAAGCATGCCACCTAGTGAAGTTTAATGGCTGCGATCTATTTTTCTTTTTTTTTTTTAACTTATTTAATAGATATAAATTTCAAAGTATAACTTTTGGATCACAGTGGCTCCCCCCCGCAACTTCCCTCCCATCTCCTGCTCCCACTCCCATCCCATTCACATCAAGATTCATTTTCTTTTTTTTTTTAACTTTTATTTAATGAATATAAATTTCCAAAGTACGGCTTATGGATTACAATGGCTTCCCCCCCATACCGTCCCTCCCACCCACAACCCTCCCCTTTCCCACTCCTCTCCCCTTCCATTCATATCAAGATCATTTTCGATTATCTTAATATACAGAAGATCAGTTTAGTATGCATTAAGTAAAGATTTCAACAATTTGCACCCCCATAGAAACACAAAGTGAAGTATATTGTTGAGTACTCGTTATAGCATTAAATCTCAATGCACAGCACATTAAGGACAGAGATCCTACATGAGGAGTAAGTGCACAGTGACTCCTGTTGTTGACTTTACCAATTGACACTCCTGTCTATGGCATCAGTAATCTCCCTAAGTTCTTGGATCCTGGCTTCAGAATGGTGCAGGTCCGGCCATACAGCCAACTGGGGAGTGAACCATTGGATGGAAGAACTCTCTCTCTCTCCTGTCTCTCTCTCTCTCTCTGCCTCTCCTCTCTCTGTGAAACTCTTTCATAATAATAATATATTAATATTTAAAAAAGAAAAAAATATTTTCTCATGTCTCTATTCTTCCTCTTCTCCTTTGTCATTTTCTAGTGTTTCCTCTAATCCCTCTGCCCTCTTCATCTCCTCATCCTCATCCTCCATCTCCTCTTCTTTATAAAGCTATACATGATCTCTTCCAAACAGGCTTTTGCTGACAGTTTGCATGTGGATACATTACGTAATTCCATCCTTTATCTCTTTGAACAGGTAATCAGTAGTAAGAGATATTCTGATGCTGGGAAATCTAACAGTTGGGAGTTTAGAGTCTAAAGCAGTTATTTTAAATTCAATGTTGTTTTATTCTGCTGTCATCAACAATGGCCTATTTTTCTTCCATGTGTCTAATAAGGCTGCTTTATAAGGTCCTTATTGAATGATTTTTCACCTGTGAAGTACCTGTGTTCTTATCACGGTTCTTCCTCCACTTAAGAACCATGTTGGTTTCTCCTGATCATGGGATGATCCCATGTTGAATGATTTCATGTTCCTCTTCAGACTCAGTGTTTATCTGGGATTCCACATTAATTCGCCCCAGCTTGATGGTGACCTACACACAAATCTTTTCCTATTTGGATGGCTCTTGGCCTTTGTCTGTTGCTTGCTCATGCAAAAATGGACAAGTGTTAACAATCCACTTCCTTTCTTTCTGGGATTTTCTTCTCAAGCAATTCAGCAAACTAATCAGAATGATATTGTTTGAAAGACCTTGATGTTTTGTTGTAGAAACTCTCATGCTTTATTTGAGAAGAAAGAGAAGGGAATTTCAGATCAATAAACTTGCATTTTTATTTAATGAGGAATAAGGGAAATCCAAAACACAAGGAAGCAGAATTGGGAGAGGCTCCTAGTCACCACATGTGGAGCTGAATGCCACAGCCACCCCCAGGTCTACCAGATAAGGCATCACAGAGTGCATCCCAGCAGTCTCCCTGTTTCAGTAAGTGTTCAAGGTGATTCTGAGGGTTGCAGAAACAAGGAAACAAACAAAATTACCCTCCTCTTAAAAAGTTGTCATCTCAGTGAGGTAAGACTTCCTATTCCAGAATTTAAAAATTCCATAATATACTGTTCAAGTAAGATATAAATTCCGGCCCAAGGGATACAAGGTGCATTAGAATTATTTTACATTACAGGATTACTAGGTTTCACCAAAACAGTGGGGAAGAAACCAGAGGACTCTCCCTCCTCACAATTCCCCAGGAGAACCCCCAGAGTCACCAACCCAGCTCCTCTCCAGGTCTCACAACCTGGCACAGAGCCTGGAAAGGCCTGTTGAGCTGCAGAGCAGTAAGGAGCCAACAGGGGGCAGTGGCAGGAACACACTTTGCTCCTCTGCAGCTTGGCCGTCAGGGGTCGCACACATAAAGACCCAAAACCTCATATTCTGCACCAAAAGAGCAAGGTGGGTTGGGGCCTTTTCTCATTCCTTGTGACACATGACCCATATTCCTGTACAGGACATGGTTCCTGCCTCTGTCCTCTCATGAGAAACTTGTGCTCACAGTGCTGAGCCTCCTGACTTTGGCTGCAGATCGAGTGGGGGTATTCATTATGGCTGATGTGTGGCTCTCTGCGAATTTCAGGTGTTACTCTGGAGGAGCTGACTTGAGAGTTTCTACAAGAAAGAGCCCTATACCCACCACAAATCACCTCAGTTGCATCACTGCATTCTTGCAGGAATGTTCAAATCCATCTTCGGCCTCAGGCTCCCTCTAGTGTTGTGGTCGGTATTGACCTGACTGAAAGGAAGGGAGACCTGGGCATAATAGCAGTAGACAGCTCCAAGTCAAGACTGGGTGAACTGAAACATCCATGTAATGGAAGCGATCTCCATGGGAACACCAGATGGCCCTGCAGAAATAAACATGTGTGTGTACAGGAAGTCTGAAAGACTAGATAGGAGCGGCCTCTGAGCAATGGGATTGCAGTTGGTTTTCCTTTCTCCTTTATAAGTGCTTAGATTTATTAGCCTTAAGGATACTATGGAACAGTAACTAAAAACAGGCCAATTTCACATTGAATTTAAAGCTAAATGTCAGCGTGTTTCATTTTAATGAAATAACAAGCCTATCATACAACAGACAACTCATGAAAGGTAAGTCAGCATGGAATATGCTACTCAGAAAATACATAAACATATGATCTAGCTATGGATGATAGAATTATAATCAGATATCATTGGCACATTAACTTGGGAATTAGTTTTTACACGCAAAAATATAGAATTTCAATTCCAGTGATCTTGCCTTTACACACACATACATACACACACAATTATAAAATGCAAAGACTCAGAGACCAATTGACTTGGATATTAGAAGACACACATGCTAATGGCTATTCATACACAATTGAGTATGACTCAGGAAGTGTTGCTATGTTGAGACAGCCACATAAAGTTATGATAACTCCTACTAAAGTGTTTCTCAGACTATAGCTGCTGAAGACACTGATGGAGGTTTTGGGGAGAAAGAAGTAATTCTATGAAAAACTGATGACTGTACTAGAGAGGATGGGGACATTTATTTAAGAAACCTCTATGGGGTAAAGGCTATCAAAAGATGATTAGAATCTGCGTGATCTGGTGCTTTTCCACTTATCTTTAAGAATAATGCAGGCCAGCGCTGTGGTTCAATAGGCTAATGCTCCGCCTTGCAGCACCGGCACACTGGGTTCTAGTCCCAGTTGGTGCATCAGATTCTCTCGCGGTTGCCCCTCTTCCAGGCCAGCTCTCTGCTATGGCCCGGGAGTGCAGTGGAGGATGGCCCAAGTGCTTGGGCTCTGCACCCCATGGGAGACCAGGACAAGCACCTGGCTCCTGGCTTTGGATCAGTGCGGTGAGCCGGCCACAGCACGCCGGCCACAGCGGCCATTGGAGGGTGAACCAATGGCAAAAGGAAGACCTTTCTCTCTGTCTCTCTCACTGTCCACTCTGCCTGTCAAAAAAATAAATAAATAAAAGAAATAAAAAAAGAATAATGGAAATGAGCTGGGCTGTGGTGTAGTATGTTAAGTTTCCACCTTAAGTGCTAGCATCCCACATTTCGTAGGCTCAAGTCCCGGCTGTTCTATAGCAAGAACCCTGTAAGAGTGAAAGGAATTCAACAACAAAAAAACTAAACATCCAGTTAAGTAATGGGAAACACCTTCATCATGCATTTTTCAAAAAGAAGAAACTGAAAAGGCCAAAGTCACTTAAAAAATTCTCAGGACTACTAGCCATCAGGGAAATGAAATCAAAACCACCATCAGGTTTCACCTTACCCATCATAATGGCTCTCATACAGAAATCAATTAACAACCTATTCTGGAGAGGACTCAGGAAAAAGGTAGCCTAATCCACAGTTGATGAGAATGTAAACTGATGCAGTCATTGTGGAATACAGTATGGAAATTTCTGAGAAAGAAAATAGATTCCATGAGACCAAGACAACTGACTCCTAGAAAGTTACCCAAACTAAATGAAATCAGCATGAAAAGGGGTCATCTGTACCCCGAAGTTCATTGCAGCTCAATTCAAAATAGCTAAGATATGGAATCAACCCAGATATCCATCAACTATGACCGGAAAAGAAATCCTGGCATGTATACTCTAAGAATGTTTATCAGTAGTAGAAAAAAAAAAGAATCCTCTCTTTTGCAACAACATTGATGCAACTGGCATCCATGATACTTAAAGAAATGAGCCAGTATCAGAAAAGACATATGCCATGTGTGTCTAGACAGAATCTAGAAGCAACTTAAAATACAAGGTCAATGGTTCTAAGAAAATGGACAACAGACTCGTTATTGTAAAAGAAAGAATCATTATTTGACTTATGATAAAAATGGGATGGTTCAACTTTCGCAAATCAATCAATGTGATACACCACATTAACAAACTGCAGAAGAAAAAACATATGATTATCTCAATAGATGTAGAGAAAGCATTTGAAAATACAACACCATTTCATGATGAAAACTTACCTAAAGTTTTCATGATGAAAACTCTAAGCAAATTGGGTGTGGAACAAACATTCCTCAACACAATCAAAACAATTTATGAAAAACCCACGGACAGAACCTTATTGAATGGGGAAAAGTTGGAAGCATTTCCACTGAGATCTGGTACCAGACAGGGATGCCCACTCTCACCACTGCTATTCAGTATAGTTCTGGAAGTTTTATACACAGCCATTAGTCAAAAAAGAAATTAAAGGGATACAAATTGCAAAGGAAGAAGTACAATTATCCCTCTTTGCAGATGATATGACTCTTTATTTAGGGGATCCAAAGAACTCTGTTAAGAGACTATTGGAGCTCATAGAAGAGTTTGGCAAAGTAGCAGGATATAAAGTCAATGCACAATAAGCAACAGCCTTTGTATACACAGGCAATGCCATGGCTGAGAAATAAATTATATATCTATCCCATTCACAAGAGCTACAAAAAAAAAAGTACCTTTGAATAAACTTAACAAAGGACATCAAAGATCTCTACAATGAGAATATAAAATCTTTTTTTTTTTTGAAAAGGCAGAGTGGACAGTGAGAGAGACAGAGAGAAAGGTCTTCCTTTTTGCGGTTGGTTCACCCTCCAATGGCCGTTGCAGCCGGCGCGCTGCAGTTGGTGCATTGCGCTGTTCCGAAGCCAGGAGCCAGGTGCTTCTCCTGGTCTCCCATGCGGGTGCAGGGCCAAAACACTTGGGTAATCCTCCACTGCACTCCTGGGCCATAACAGAGAGCTGCCCTGGAAGACGGGCAACCAGGACAGAATCCGGTGCTCCAACTGGGACTAGAACTTGGTGTGCTGGCACCGCCGGTGGAAGATTAGCCTATTGAGCCACGGCACTGGCCAGAGAATTATAAAATCTTAAAGAAAGAAATAGAAGAGGATACCAAAAATGGAAAATTCTTCCATGCACATGGATTGGAAGAATCAATATCATCAAAACTTCCATTCTCCCAAAAGCAATTTATAGATTCAGTGTGATACCAATCAAAATGCCAAAGAAATTCTCAGATCTTGAAAAAATGATGCTGAAATTCATATGGAAGCACAGGAGACCTGAAATAGCTAAAGCAATCTTGTACAACAAAAACAAAGCCAGAGGCACCACAATACCAGATTTCAAGACTTACACAGTGGATCTATAATCAAAACAGCCTGGTATCACAATGGATGGGTAGAACAATGGAACAGAATGGAAACACCAGAAATCAATCCAACATCTATAGCCAACTTATATTTGATCAAGGAGCTAAAACAAATTCCTGAAGAAAGGACAGTCCATTCAACAAATAGTGCTGGTAAAATGGATTACCCATGCAGAAGCATGAAGCAAGACCCCTACCTTATATCTTACACAAAAATCCACTCACTATGACCGGCACTTTCAAATTATTAGAGGACATCAAAGAAACCCTGCAAGATATAGGCACAGGTAAAGATTTCTTGGAATAGACCCCAGAGGTACAGGAAGTCAAAGCCAATATTCACAGTTGGATTACATCAAAAATCACTTTCTTATGTCTGGTATTGGCAAAAGTAAATCAAAGCCAGATTGATAATAAATAGAAATGAAGAGAGAAAAGAAGTTTACAGAATCACTTCTATGTATAATGAAAACTTGATGTGTGATTATCACATCATTATATTTATTTATTTTTTTACATCATTTTAAATTCATATGAAATGATATATAATTCAGCATTTTCTTGACAATGAATTACACATTATAATGATTTAACATGTCTAAAGATTGTGCTGAAATATTTCAACTATATTAATAAGCTTATTTTAATATAGACTAATGAATTAATAAAAAGCAAAGAAATGTGTAACTCATTTTATTAAAATATGAATATGACAATGTCAATGAGTTGACATTGAAAATACAGGATGAAAAGAAATGAAAAGTTTCAAGGGGAGCCTTTATCTGAGATTGGTTTTGTGCTTATGAACATAAAACCCAGACTAAGAAATTAGTTCATAGTATTATTTTGAAGAGAGAAGGAATGGGTACAGCATGGGGGTATAGTGGCTATAAGTAGCACCTATAACCCCGACATCCCATGTTGGTGCCAGTTCATGTCTTGTCCGCTCCACTTGCAATCCAGCTTTTTGTTAAGATCTAGAAAATGCTTTGGAAGATGGCCTAAGCCTTTCTGTCCTTGACACTCACATGAAAACCTGAATTAATCTCCTTGCTTTGGCATGAACTAGCACTGGGCCACTACAGATATCTTCAGATTCCATTACCAGATGGAAGGTTTCTCCCACTCTCTATCTTCATTTTCTGTAAATTGGACCTTCAGAACAAAAACATATTAAGAAAAGTATAAATTGTTCATAAGGAGGGTACATTATACAAGTTATTTTTAACATCAGAATGCAAAATGTTTTATAATTTAGATTCTAACCAATAAAAACTGAGAGAGCCTAAGAGCTACACCTGAGAACATATGTTTCCTTAGAAATTCTTCTATCCCTTAATCCTTTCAAAGCATTCTTCTCAGGTCTTAGGAGAATAATGTAGCACTTGGGGACAAAGATGCAGCCCAGGAGCCCCGCACTGGAGCACAAGATGGAGAAGACCTCCACAGCCACCATGACCTTCCCCTTGGTGCTGTGGTAGACAGGCAGGAAGGTCACCCAGACACTGCAGAACACCAGCATGCTGAATGTCAGGAACTTGGCTTCATTGAACTTGTCAGGCAGATTCCTGGCTAGGAAAGCCACAGTGAAGCTGGCCATGGCCAAGGAGCCCAGGTAGCCCAGGACACAGTAGAAGGCAATGACTGAGCCCTTGTTACACCAGGATGATGTGGCCATGCTCTGAGTGTGCATCTGTGTCAATAAAGGGAGGAGAA